TTCTTTTATATAAGGCAAAGAGAAAAAGGAAAAAAAAGGAAAGATTTTTCTTATGTTCAAAATTCATTAAAATAAAAAAATAAAATTCAAAATAATTATAATAAGATAAAATTATATAAGTACCTATATTTTGAGATGGAAAAAAAATCACAGACTTAATGAGAGAAACTTACTATTTTTCTCGCATGATATATACTTCACAATATAAGAAAACATTTTATAAATCTTTTGGAATTCGTTATACCTATTATTTCTCTATTTTTTAAACATCGAAAATAATTGTTGAAATTTTTGAAATATAAGCAAATAAAGGAGTTATGATCTAAAGTTTGTCATTTGCTTACGTCCTATATCTACGTTGTGTTACAAAAATTTAGGATAAAAAAGAAAAAACCTTGATGAATGTAACGTCACTTCATGCACAGCTGTGTCCAGCAGATAAAGTAGTAATGGTTCAAACTTCAAAGAACAACTTTTGTAAAATAAATAAAAGATATAAAAAGAAAGTTGTGCGCATTACCATTTTCAATTTAATTTAAAAGAATATTCCAAAATATTCTTTGTCTATATGCGTCATAATCTTGTCATCCATCTTCGTCAGCAAACATTGTTGTAAACCAATGATACCAAAAGGTGACGTTGGACGTTCAATCTAGAGAACTGCTATACAGTCCCAAAAAAGCTGCTGAAACATCGTACGAATTCTCATATTTAAAATATTCATATTTTTAAATAAATTTATTACAGTATAAAATAATTATTTAATTTAATATTATATAATTTAAATTATTATTTTAAAAATTCGGAATAAGATTCAGAGAATTGTTTCGGAGTTTTTAGAATTTTTCTTCAATCTATGACTATATAAAAATATACGAATTCATGTACTTTTTTTTATAAAAAAAATAGACAGACAAAATATATATATTTTTAGTATATAATAATAAACAAAAGTATTATGTGTTATTTAAAACGTTACCTAATTAGATATAATAACAAAGGAGTGATAGATTTAGATAATATTTATTTATTTAATTTAAGATAAAGTTTCAAAGTTAAATTTCACGTATATAAAAACAAATCTCCAATAAAAGTATTAATCTCTGTATTATAAGTATTCTAAGATTAAAAAACAAAAAAAAAATCTAATGTGTTTTTCCATCATTTTATTAATATGAAGAGTTATTAACTTCATTAATAATAAATTTTTTTAAGAAAAAAATTTACCGATCATTTTTAGTCATATTTATCTTCTTAAGTATTTAAAAATAAAGTAAAAATAAAAAGTAACATTTTTATAAGATTTATCTTTTTACAATACTTTGTCTTAACAATTTTTTTCATTCGTTCTCAAAGAAAAGAAACAAATTTTTATTATTTATAATTTGTTGGTCAATTTAATATATAAATTAAAATATAAATCCAATAAAGATGTTATTTTTTTAGAATCTGTTCAAATGTGAATTTTGGCCCCGTTATGGTGAGTCTTCTGTTTGCCTAGTGCGTCCGTTGTCGTATTCGTAGGTAAAAACGGAATCGTTTGAACCCACCAAAACGACATATTATTGACAAATACAGAGAACCAACACAAGCCTCGTTATTATCGAAAATATTTAATTTTTTCATTTCCTTTTTATTATTATTTGTTATATTGATTTTTTTTATATCTCTCTTTTACTTAAATCTTAAATAACCAAAAGACTAAACCATCATTTTGGTTTTTAAAGTGTAACACATTGTTCGTCAATCTTTAAAATTAAAAAATTCAAATAAGATTTTGAAAGTGTAACTAGTTAATTATATAATTTGAAATTTTAATATATATCTATAATTATTTTGAAGGGATAAATACCTATAATATATATATATATTAAATTTAAACACTTAGATAAAATAATTGAAAACTTAAAATATTTATTTAAATTTTTCATAATTTAAAGAACTAATATATGATTATGATAACAATATACACTATCGGGAAATAAAATGGTGATTTACATTATTAAAATAAAGAGTGTATATTTATAAGGTTATTCTTAAAGAGCTCAAGTCATCCGTTATTTTATTTTATTTTTTTTATAACAAAATAAAGTACTACAAATCTCATAATACTAATAAATTGTTGTTCATAATAAAATTAAATTAAATTACTTCAAGTAAAGTTATGCATGAGAATTTTGTATATATAAAGATGAAATATATCAAATGAGTGGTTAAATTTAATAATCATGCATTAATAATGTAAAATAATTGATAAAATATTATCATTGATAAAAAGTTTTATATTTATTTATATATTATAGAAGTTGACATTTTATTATAAGTATTAGTATGTATATCAACAAACTCGTGAATCAACTGACAGAGAATTTTTTCACTTTTAATAGATTTACTACACTTGACCCGTATTAGGGTGATTATAATTTTCGTATAAGATTAATGATGAACAAAGATGAATAGGTATGAATAAAAACATATTTAAGAAATGAAAAAATTATACAAAGTAGAGTTTTAAAAATCAAATTGAATTGGATTGGCGGTTGGACTAGTTAAACCGGTGATCTAGTCGATCCGAACTTTGAGTTAGATTGATTATGTATTCGACTCATTTTAAACTGATCCAAATATTGAGTAATGAGCCTTATTAAACATAACAATGATAATTTGTTCTAATATATTTATTTGTAATATATGCAACTTAAATATCTTTTACAATATATTATTAATTTTAAATTATATATTTAATAATACAATATTTATGTAGATATTACATATGTTATTTTGTGATATCAATTGCATGTATATTATATATATATATGTATGTATTATTTATATTTTTAATTTTTATTAGTATAGAGTTTAATATACAATTTTTTTTTTGTATTTTTTTTATACAAATTAAAATGAATATAATTTAAATAAGATGGAAATTAAAATTTAAGATAGGATATAAATTTATGAAAATTTATAAGTATAAAAATATATTTAACATGAATATTTTTTAAAAAAATTAATAAAAATCATATCATACAATTTAATTAGTGATCCACTAATTCAAAATTTGATCTACTGACCCTATACCTTAACCGATTTGATAAGTTATATAATTTTTAAAACTATGATCTGAATGTAAATTTACTTTAACCACCAAAGATTTCGTCATTGACAAAATTTGGATAAAAAATTTATGGATGTCAAACTATTTTTTATATATATAAATTAAATTTTTTATTAACTAAAAATAATAGAATGTTTCATTTTTTACTCAATTTTTTAAGTTTTATTATAATTAATAATATGGTAATATATAAATATAATATGAGTTTATATAAAAATAAATTTAGAAAAGTTTGATAGCAAGGCCGGCCAGTGGATTTCGCACGTGGTTATCCTTTAAATGGGCCCCACTTGACTTCATTAATCAAACACGTACGCAGGTAAAATCTATATATATATATATATAAGCATGATTGTGAGTGTGGAGATCTGAAAAGAAAGAAAGAGTGAAGATATGAATGGTAACAACGGCGGCGGCGGCGGCGGAAATGGGGCGGGTCAAGAACCACCGGTGAGGGCCCCACATCCTGCGGCTTCATTTACCAACTTACCGACTGGTCGAGCAAAAAAGAAGAACACTATCTTAAAGGGTATTTTCAAGGGCGATCCTTCATCCACCTGACCCTCTCTTTGCTTTCTATGCTTTCATTTCAGATCCCTTTGTATATTCCTATATTTATGCCTTTTAAGCTCCTTCCACTGCTCATGTAAAATACTCAAATAAACACTTTCTCCTCTCTTATTGCCTCTTTCTTCCTTATAATATATTACTACCTATCTCTTCTTCATTTTCCAATTTCTTCCATCACTTCCTGCTTCTATCAAACTTATACGTTTTAGCCTTAATTTTACTCTAATTTTAGACTCAATGTGATTCTCTAATCTCTTTCAGGCGTATAGACACTCACGGTTCCAGAAATTTTATATAGTGTAGATAATATTTATTATAAATTTGTAGCGTTAAAAATATTATAATCACTTTAATATATATATATATATATATATCATAATTATCTTTTACAATTTTTATATCTATCGTTACAAATTAGATTAGGTTAAACTAAGTTTTATTAGATCTGACCTGATCATCATTAAAAATTTATGACTTAAGTTTATTTGTCATATTTTTTATAAGTTTGGTTTGATTTACATAAGAATTTATTTTGACCTATAAATTTCTTTAAAAGTTTATTTTGCAATAATTTAGGAATGAGAAAGATGTAAAACAAATGTTTAATTTTATAAACATTAAATCTAATTTATTTATAATATAAACATACTTTTAATATTTAATATGATATTAACAATAATAACTTATATAAAGACATATTTTGAAATAAGAAGTCTAAATAGGATATAAATTTGACATTCTTTCAACAATATATAGAAAGTGAAAAAGAAAAATGTGTACACTGAAAATTTTAATTTATTACTATTTGATTATTTTTTAAGTATATTACATTATATATGTTTTTAAAATATTATATTGTTTTTAATGTTGTAGAGTATATATGAAGTAAAAATGTAAACTGATAGCCCCACTCTATCCTAGATCCGTCGTTACATATAGCTTTGTCTCAGGTAAGACAGATAATAATAACAATTTTAAAATAAGAGAAAATTTTAACCACTGATATTTAAAACTTAACATGAGTGCCTGAGTACAAAAATAAAAAATATTATGTCAGGTTAAATATTACAGATTATAAACCAACATCTAATTGTAGGAACTAAATTATAAAAAGATAAAAGATTAAATTATAATTTATTTTATATTAAGACCTAATTAAAATTTCTAAAAAAATATTTATAAACCAAAATGATATATATTAAGCCTTAATTAAATCATGTATATATTTTTATTAAACTTTAAATTTCTTATATATAAGAGTCCTTACATATTATTTCAATAATCAGATATTAGTCTATGATGCAATAAATCGAAAACAAAAAAAAAATGTTGATGTCTTTATATCTAAATATTTGAAACATAATAACAAACTCTTAAAAAAAAAACTATTTATAAACTAAAAATATTCAAACATATTTTAAACGAATTTTACTGATGGTCATTACATTCCTTATCAACATACAACAGAGAAGCTATATAAACTATAAAGCATAAACCAACAGCTAAGCAATCTCCAAATCACGTGTATAGTCTCAATCGAGTTGTAATTTGCTGCCGGCACAGAGGGCATGAAGATAATGTCACGCCACACTCCTTGCAAGTCTGTATCAAAAACAAAATGAAAATAAATAAATAAGACAGTTTTTTACACGTTCTTTAATTATTCAATAGTTCCTCTCAGCAATTATATTTAAAGGAGTGAAAATAGATTGTCAATTCATGCCATTTTTCTTGTGCTAAATTTTAGATGCTGATGTGATTTTCTGAAAAATCAAACGACGAGTCAATTTAAAATCACCGCATAGTTTTGATTCTGAGCAAGAAAAGCATCTTTTTCATTTTTCCTTTAAGCTTGCATCACTAGCACAAAAGTATAATTTGCTCAAACGTGGAAATTATAACTTAAAAATTTCATTTGACATAAGCATTAAAATTGACATCAGCATGAAGTAAAAGATTTATGATTATCATTCACATAAATAGCTATGTAACCAAAAATAAATTCACATATGAATAGTTAAAACGCCTACATAAGCATTAAATAAGAGCAAGTTCATTAAACAAACTTACTGTATGACCACATCCAAAAGCCATGTCCTTCGGATTGGTTAAGCAAATAGGGCATGCCTAAAGCAAGAGTAAGACATTTATCTCGTAAGCATAATTTTATTAAATGAGCCTAATGCAGTAAATAGAAACCTCATTTGGGGTAGAGGAGTAACGTACTGAATCTACTGCAGCTGGAGCTGTTGGCTCGACTGATTCAAAATTTGTCACATGTGGAACTGCTACGACTGCATTGTCACGATCTATTACTTCCTTAGGCGGAGGAAGAGGCCTTCTGCGTTGATAACTTACTGATTTTTCACTGCATCAGAATAATTTGAGATTCTGTTATCCTTGATTCCTTGAATATAATTTAGAATTAGCATACCTGTATTTCACGACTTACTTGGCAACTTGTAGATTTTGGGTTATACGGTACTGAATTGGAATTTCCATAAGGGCAGCAAGTGCAAATGCTGTTTCCTTCTTTGATGCATCTTTGTTCTCAGACATGATCTTTGTGAAATTCACAAACTAAAGGGGCAAGAAGGAACACAAAGTAGCTAACATATCGTTATTCTATTATTAATAATAAGAAAACTCATAATACCATAAATGATTCAGAATTAAAGGTGGTATTTCAAAATATGGAACACTGAAGCCTTTTTCTAAGATTAAGCAGTCATTTTTTAAACTGATAACCACCAATTCACATACCAATCCTATGTTTAATTCTCACAGAACAATTTCTGCAGAAAGTCTGGATTTTTAAATACTGATACTGAAAAAAGTTTGAGCTCTACCAAGTCATGTACCAATGCTTGGTTGTGGGGTTGTGGAGTTTTGTTAGCATAGACTCAGGTTTGTGTTGAATCGTATATTGTATATATGGTAAATATCCACTGTTTACAAGAATTTCAAATCATAAATGTGTATATATTAAAATTCTGTGGTAGATGGATAGATTCATTGTCACATATAGGGTTCACTATGAACCCACATTCGGTAACACAAGTCTTTGTTGTTTCTTTCCTGTGGTGCATATTTCATTTATTCCCTATGTGTTTCTGGCTGTGTATCCTTCCAGTAATCCAGCGTCTATCTCACTGTTACTCTATCAAGCAGTACTGCTTTTTTTAGGTCATTGTTGTTTTGTCTCTTTAGCAGTGGCTGACCGCCAGTTCTTTTCAATTGTATTGTGGTTCAAATATGGTTTCTGAAGCCCATTACAAGCTCTCATGCAATCAAGTAGGTTTTTACGATTTTCTTTGATAGACAATTTTGTTTGTTTCAGCTTCATCTTGAGGGGAAGTGTCAGAATATTTATGTATCCTATGTAAAAGATTATTATTGTTTCTATTTTGTGTCAGTACATAGTCAGCGTAGTTGGGCAGGGCATTTATTAGTTTTATAATTTGTAATAGACCTAGATTATTGGCACAGATAGGGGTATAAGATCAGGTTATATACAACAATATTCGAGATTTCTGAGTCTAATTATAAGTACCTCTTTTCCCTGTGCTGTCTAATCCCTAAAACTTAAACAACAATACATCCATCAGTCAAGTACCTGAAAGTTGTCAAATAAGCGCTGAGTAATGTTATCGTCAAAGTGCTGCATTTCATTCCATGGTCCATCTCCAACTCCAACCAAAATAATTGAGAGGGGATGGTGACTGATGATCAGAATAGCTCCATATTAAAGACAGATACCAATGACAGTTGCAAAAGACTACAAAAGAAATTGCTTTACCTCGCTGCACTGATAGAATCAATAGTGGCTTGTTCTTGTGGACTATACTTTCCATGTGGTGTATCTGAATTTCTAGTAACCTATAAAAAAGGAAGATATTCCATAAACACATGAAAATTAATGAAAGATAATTAAATCATGTCATGGAAAGATAATGGAATAACATAAATAGTAAAACCTGTCCATCAGCAATAATGACAAGAACATGATATTGACCACTTCTTTCCACAATGTCAACTGCTGCGTCAATTACAGGGGCAAACGATGTTGGACCTACGGATAAGCAGATAACTGTCATAACATAATTATATCTTCATATCATTGCTTGCGTACCCAAGTCATTTCTCACCTTGGATTTTTTTTTCTATTTTGGATTAAAAGAAGAATTCATTAAGGGAAAAATGGGAATATAGTTTCAGGATTATCCTTAAAAATGAGATTAAACAGCAAAAAAATGAAACAGGAAAACAAAGTAGATACATTGACTTAAGGGTGATTTAGTACACACTTATTTACAATTTATTTGTGAGAAATAATCACTTTGTTTTCAAAGCACTTAGGAAGATGCAAAACAGAGCTTTCATGACCCTAAAAGAAGCTAATCCAAACACCATCCTAGTCCCTGCAGGATGACAAGGAAAATAAAAAAAAACCTGTGAACTAAACCCTAAAATAAGGCTAAAAGACAAGTCCGTGCCACAAAAGATGATTCAGATGAGATCTTTGGCTAAAAGTTTTACAATATATCTCCAGCCAAATACATCACAATGGAGCATCTTTTCTACTCCCTATACCTCCATAACAAATGAGGTGTGCAGATTCAAATTTTTCTAAACAGCACAAACAACTTACTTCCTAACTGGCAAGTTACTTCAAAATTCAAGATTTTAATGATTCTAGGGGGGGAAATAACCAACAGAAAGAGAAAGTATCAAGAAACAGAACAAGAAGCAAGTGAATGAGAGAATGGATTAAGAAATGTATCGTTGTTAATGGAAAAATAGAAGAACAAGGAGAAAACTCCTTCAGAGGGGTTTCCCATTCACAACTGAATCCAAGGCTTGTTTTTCTCTCAGATATTCTTTTCTGTACAACTTATACTTCTGTTAATGCCATCTACTAAGGTCTGGCTGTAATTTATTTTGTCACATGTTAATTATTATTATTATTATTGTTTATTACCTGTATATAGCAGATGGTAGCTGTAATATTCTTCTACCATAAATAGCTTGTAGCAGACAGAATATTCTAGGTTAGACTTTAGGACAAAATCTCCGGTAGTCTCTTTTGTATTTGTAAAGCATTTTACTTGTCTATTTAAGGAGAAATATGATGCACAGAGCCGTACTATTTTTTCCTAAAAGCTTTCTTAAGTTTTATCATGGTATCTCTTGATCTTTGACATGGTATCAGACCTTCAACTCATAACCAAGGTCAATTCTAGTGCACCTGCAGACATTGTTGGGATTCTGCAGGTTCTTGCTTACCTTCGTAAGCAACATCATTCTGACCTTGGTGATCTTGTCTTTGTGTTTATCAGTAATTTTTCTCAGTGTTGCTGTCTTGTTTTTGATCCTTATTATTATATCATGCCTCATGATAACTCAATAATTTCTTGTTTGCATTATTGAGAAAAAAATATTCCTACTGGGAATTTCAGTTCAAAATATTTGTCAAAGTGAAATAATTACGGGGTCACATTGATGGGAGTAATCACGCACATGAAGATGCTGAGAAATTAACTAAGTGGGAAATCAAGGATGCATGGGTTACGAGTTGGATAATTAGCTCACTTGAATAGCATCTGAGTCTCAATCTAAGCCATACAAGACTGCTAAAGAAATTTGGAATTTTCTTAAAAAGGTATATACTCAAGACAATACAGCTAAAAGATTTCCGCTAGAGAATGAGTTGGGTAATCTGACTAATTTCACTCATAGTGTGTTTTGATGGAGAATTTAAATGGAATAATTCTTTTATTTGAAGAATTTCAAATTCTTTGAGGTGAAATATCTTGTTTGGATGGAGAATTTATAAGGAATTTAAAATTCAAGCATTTGTGAAATTCCTTGAAATAGTAGAATTTTAAATTCTTCCAAAAAAGTAAGAATTTGAAATTTCTCATATTTTTCTTCTTCTTATTTTACTTATATTTTTTATCTTATCTCTTATCTCTTCATATTTTTAATTATTGAATATTCAAAAATATTTTTAAAATTACTAAATATTATCTAATATTAATTTTTAAAATTATTAAATATTTAAAAATTAGCTAATATTTATTTTTATAAAATTTAATTTAAGAATCTCAACATATAAATATATTTTTAAAATCAAATTTACCATGGTAGAATCAAATTATCATATTTAACTCAATAATTTAAAATTTAAAAAATTTGAATTGACTTATCCAAACAAATTATTTTAAGAATGATGAAAATTGAAATCAAAGTAATTCAAATATCAAGAATTTAAAATTCCTTGAATTTGTAAAATTTCTTATCCAAACACACCATCAAAGAAGTCTGACAATCAAGGAAGACCTATTTTTTAATTAAAAACAATATGATTTATTACATTAAACAAATAACATAATGCTAACAAATCTCAAAAATATGTATTATATTTTTCATTCAATTTACTTCTATATTATCATTTATCGTCAAAAAATATTATTGTCTTAAATTATATCTTACATGTATTTTTTGTTATTTATTAATATACTAACTTTTAGTTTAACTAATATTTTAGCTTGTATATTGCACAAGTTAAATCTTGATTTTTAGATAATTAAATTAATCATAAATATATATTATTATGAATATAAATTATATTTTAGATTTACAATAAATAATTTAAATTGTGATATATTCTTTTAAAACTAAAACAAATATGTGGTTAAGAAAATCACACACACGTGTAAAGATAAAGATAAATGAAGAGTAATTTGAGATGATTGAGAAATATATTTTTGTCTAACTGTGGAGATGGAGAACGTGTGTGAAATGTAGGTTGTGTTTCTTATATTGTGAAAAAAACAAAACTTTCAATTCTATGCATTATCATATATCCAATACACGTTTATATGTCCAAAAAAGATAGAAATTCATTTGACACGAATTTACAAAGGGTAAAATGTTTTTAGTCCCTCTAAAGTTCTCTAAATTTGGCTTTAATCCCTCAAAACCTTTTCATTCTTTTTGACCACTCTAATTTGAAAATGCACCAGTTTTTAACCTCAAAGGGGTTTAGATAGTGCTTAAAAGTGGTTATAAAAATTGTGACTCTCATTATGTCTCTTCTAATCGTACCACATGTAAACTTGCTCCATGGAGAGTTCTTACTAGGGAGTATGAACTGCATAAGAAGGCTTTCACAAGATTTGCAGGTGATTGGATCAGCACATTAATTCCTTGCATCAATCATCATGTCTTCAACAAGTATTTATCTGTGTTTTAATTTCATCTAAATATCATACAATTTGGCTCACAATTGAGGGTGGCAATCATCATCATCATACAAGTATTTCTAGACAATCATTATAGTGGGATTATTGTCCGAGGTCATAAAATAATATTAGAGATATAAGCTTGTAATAAAATTGTAAAATCTAGCCAGCAAGGATGATAATATTAAACCTGACAATTTTAAGTGTGGCACAATCTCTCGGTAGCGCGCCAGTACTTCCTCAAATCCATGACAATAGCGATCACCAGGATAAAAGCTGAACACATTCTGATCATGTGTGGATGCTGCAGAGGTATATGAATGAAATTAATAAAAGAGAAAGCAAATAACAGTTCCTAGAAAAGTAAATCAGAAGTAGCTTCTCACCATCACCAAATCCAAAACATGGTATCAGATTGTCTTCATCGAAAGAAGATAGAGTACGGCCAATTATAGAGATTGCTTGCTCATACGGATTAGGAGTGTTTCCAACAGAATGAAGGCTTTTGTGGTTGAAGGAGTGCTTGCCTACAATTATCAAGGTGTGACTTTTCTGTATTCTCCACAGTATAAGTATGTAATATATTAATTTTATATTAAAAAAATAACCTGTCCACTCATTGCTTTTGGTGAAGTCAATTCCAATTATTAGATTCGAAGATTCCAGACCAGCTTCTCTCAAAGCAGACACAACCTGAAATAAGTGCTAAAGCTAAGTATTTTTAACAGTGAATCCAATTCAGTAAGAGCAAGATAAGGTACATTGTTTCTGCTATGACTATGAGAAATGTTGTCCCTAATAAACATTTTTTCAGAACTAATAAATTCCATATTATTTTGTTGTGTTCTTAAACATCCCCCTCCCCTATATAATTGATTTCAACCTATCTAGCTCAACCACTGAGTTAACCAATAGTTAGTTAATTTATTTTCTTCTTTATAAGTGCTGGTAGAGGCCATGCCAAGTTGCCAACATTTACAAATGGAACTCGGTTCCTTCATATTGCTTCTGAAACTAAAGCAGGTATAAATGAATCTATATTTTTAAGTTGTAACATATTCAATGAATGTTAGTATGTTCATAAATAGACAATCTATTATTGGGCAACCAGGGTTCTTACTTTTAATTTTCTTTTGGTCATCTTGTTTGTACCCCAACAAACCTCCCCTCAAACAAGGATCATGGTTTAACATTCTTTTAGTGGAATTTTTTTTTTTATCTACGAGTATTTAATGAGGGTCCTTAGAGCTTTAGCCACACTTGCTCATAGTATCACCATATTTTTATTTACTTTTTTTGGTCATCTTGTTTGTACCCCAACAAATCTCCTCTCAAATAAAGAACTATAATTTAACCTCCCTTCATGGAAATTTTTTTTTTAGCCATACTTGCTCATTGTATTTATTTACTTTTAATTTGCTTTTGGTCATCTTGTTTGTACCCCAATAAACCTTTCTCTCAAACAAAAGATCATGGTTTAACCTTCCTTCAAAAGAAACCTTTTTTTTTTCATATCCGAGACCATTGGCTCTGATATCACTGTTGGTTATCCAGGGTTCACACACACAATGATATAATGTTGTTCACTTTATAAGCCTAAATCCTTATATTTTTGTTTTTGGTCATCTCTTAAAAAGTCTCATACCAATAGAGACTATATGTACTTTATTAACCTTTATTTCTTTTTATATCCAATGATGTGAGATTTTGTTTGTACCCCAACATCTATATATAATTAATTTAAAAAACCCTCAAAAAAATTCCTAATACACTGTGGAGTTCAACTGATCAACAAATAAATATTTTATACAAACTCATGAAGTCTTAAAAAAAAAATTCTACACAGCTGATCGAGGATTCCTCCTCTAGTGTACTAGAAAGAAATTTTAATGCGAAGATTGATAATGACTTATTTCCCTCCATCAATAAGCATGTGTAGCAGCAAAAACCTGATCCAATGAACTGAAATTGTCAGCTATATATGTGGGTTGCTGCCTATGTTGATGCCTAGTATTCATTGAACTCCCAGCATATGAAGAGGATTGATGATATTGATGGCTAGTATTTTCGGAACGTCCATCATGGGAAGGGTGTTGCCACGAAACATCATCATGAACATCTTGTGTTGACTCTACATTTCCCATAATAATTATAGTCCCTCTTTCACCTACATAAAAATTAAAAGTAAATAAATAACAATGAAGAGTTGGAGATAAAAATAAAATAGGACTTAAGTTAAAACGAATTAAAATGAAAACCACATCAGAAGAAGTGTTAACGATTCACAGTAAATTGTAAATTATAACAGTTCAAGGGAAAATAAGAAGAAACAAATACTCGGTTAAAACCACTGGTTTTAGCATATCAATTTAGGCATCATTCACAGTAGCTTATGTAAAGTGTAAACATACTCCTCCTGATACGGATTAAGCATGCTGACAGGAGTTCGATTCTCTGACGTGTCTATGAAACTGACTTCGTCAAAAAAGAAATTAGTCTCCAACTTTCACTTGGAGATATTCTTGGGGCAAACTCAATAAAAACATATTTCACCAGTAACAAAAATTAGAAAGTTTTTTCAGCAAACAAAATCCTCCTAAATCTAGGTTCCACAAGCAACGGAGCATAGTGGAAAAGCAGAAAAACCATCATAATTCAGAGAAATCCAAAAGGCAAACAGCTATAACACATGCTGCTGTGTGCCAAACGTTACTTGCCAGAACAACTAAATCAGTCTAACATTAGATTTGAAGACCGTAAAAAATGAATCCAATTTATTGAAAAATCTTAACAGGATTGTGAATATTCTGCAATCGCATCGCAAATTCAAAATCTTTAGAGAGAGAGAGAGAGTTGAGTTACCTGAAAGAAATAGGAGAGAGAAAGAGATACACAACGAAGCTGAGTTCGAAATGATTGAAAAGCTTCAGTTGCTCTTGCATTCGGTCGCGCTATCTTTAGTATCTTGACCATATTTTCTCAGACATAAAACATCCTAACGTCGGTCATTATTTTATGTCTTTATTTTTTAATGCGTGAAATTCAGACACTTTTAATCTTTATTAAAAATAAGTAAAAATTAAAATTTAGCAATTAAAATATATTGGTTTAACTATGATTAGTTTTTGAGTCTCAAAATTTTAAGATTTGATAAAAATATTGTTTTTTTAACTTTTTAATAATAAAAAATATAATAATCTATTAAATATAGAGATCAAAATAATTTCTAAAAAACTATCTTCTTTATATAAATGCACTTAAATTTTTTTATAAGGTTAATAATTAATTAACTAAAAATATGTATCACTTTGATTTTAATCAAACACTATACGATTCGTGAATTGTTTTACTACAAAATTTTAAAATGTGTAATGTAAAATATTAAATGTCACCGGATTTATTTTAAAACTTTAGCATTTTTAAAATAACTATATTTAGAGAAACTAGTAAAAAAAAGCTCAAAAGATTTTAATTAGAAAAGGATAACCTTTCCAACAAGGCATAATTTAACATTGGTTGGACTTGGTGACTTTTTGATGTGTGCACTCGTACTTTTTGTTTGAAAATGATGGACTCTTGGCAAAAGGTGCATTATCTATTCATGTGAATGTGATTGTGAATCATTGAATCAAAGCTTTTACGCCTTTTGAATTTCTTTACCATTCTACTATTTTCAAACTCAATAATACTTACATTTTAAAACTCGTATTAATTTTCTTCTAAATATATAATTTACACAAAGGAGGAATATATTATCGTATGAGCCAAATATAAACATCACGAACAATTTGTGATAATTCTTATATAAACTATAAAAATGTTCAAATCTATAAATTATGAACCTTAAGGAAGATATATATAAGAGTTTATTAATAAAATATAAGAAGTGTTAATTACATGCTACAAAATATACCATCTTATTTTTATTTTATTTTCTATTTTTAGAAATTTATACAAGAAAAGTAAAAAAAAAATTGTAAATAAAATCAAAATATTTTCTCTTTTCAAGTTATGCTTACCCTTATTATTATGAGTTGAAACAAATAATTCAAGATTTAGTCCAAAATTATATTTTTCATTACATGAGTTTGATACTCTTACAACTATTAAAATTATATTTTAGTGGATATATTTATTCAATAAAATTTTTGGAATATTAGAAATTATTAAAAAAATAAAATTAAACATTACTAAATTTTGACTAATTATTATTAAGTAAATAAAATGTTTGATTTAAAGATTTTTAACATATTATTGATTCTTGTCTAATAATCGTGAGTAAAAATTAATATATGGATCGTAGACATCGTGATCCGTAAGCTGAAGCTGAACAAATTTTTTTAGAAGGCAAATTTAACAACAACAATAAATATACATACACTTTCATTAAGAAATCTGAAATTAAATCTTATATTATTCATAATATTTGTGTACACTAGGTTTTATTTATACTCATAATAATAATGCATACACTTGGATCAAGGAAACCAAAATACTTGTATCTAATTTTTTTTGTTCTCAATAAAGAACATGTAGAAATCAGGTTATATCTGGCACAACCTTAATTAATTAGTGTACTTAATCAGTGGGGCCCAAAAGAGTAGTAGCTAGTGTACATAGAAAACTATCCAATTAATTGGATGGTGGTGGTTCTTGAGTGCCAAGCCACAACACGAACGATGAAAGTGTGTCGGGATCAGCCCTGTGTCGCTTTTGCGTAAACTCATACAACTGAGTCCATGTGAAATCAAGATAATCCCTTTGCTCTTCATTCTCAAACAGATTCTTTGGTGGTATCACTGTTTTGTCTGCTCTTGGGTTTAGAAAGAAAGTAAGAGACTTCCTATTCACCTTCTCGTTAACCACCACCCTATGAAGGACACTCTTGTATACCCCATTTGTCAAAGCCTAATTAAGATACACACACAAAAAATGTTTTAAGCTCTCAACACCACAATAATATCATCAATCACAAATATTTTAAATTCAAGAGATAAAAAATATATTTAGATCATATTCAAGAGACTAAACATGTATGTGCATACCTTAAATGTGTCACCTATGTTTATGATTAAGGCATCAGGTATATCATGACGAGGAGGAACAGGCAGCCATTTTCCATCAACATAAACTTCAAGACCCGAAACTTGCTCTTGATGAAGAATAGTTAACGAAGTGGGGTCACAGTGAGGGCCAACGCCAAGGGTGAGGTTAGGATTTTTGCAAGATGGATAATGGTTGCACCTCATTATTGCTTCACCATCTTCAAAAAATCTTTGAAAATATGAATGATCTGCACCCAAGCTGATGCCCAATAGCTCCAAAATATTCATAGATACTTCCTTCATTGCTTCACAGTATCTTTGATTCACCAACCTATTTCATTTTTTTTTAAAAGTTAACAAAAAAAATATGTATTCAATAAAATCAATAAACTAATGCATGCTCTGAAATATGGATACTCCAAAAGTCAGGTTGTACACTTTAGGTACTCGTGAGTACATCAGGTATCCTAGAATATTTTTTTTAAAAAATTAAGTACATAATTTGTATACATATGAGTATTTTTTTTTGGGTATGTATCGAATCTATACCCAATTCTAAAAAATAAAAGTTATATATGTCAACAAAAAAAATTTAAAAATAAAACCAAATGATTAGTGGGTCATGTATAATGTAATAATTCCTAAATTCCAATATGTTGTACAAAAATTTCTCTCACAATAATTATTATCTTTTTGTTGTGAGAGAAATTGAAATATATATTATTTCGACCATTTTATGAAAAGAATAGATTTGATTCTAAGAGAGTTGAAAATTTAATTTTTATACATACAAATTTTCTTCTTCTCTCAAAAAAGAGCAAGTGTTATATAAAGGATGAGAGTAAAATGTGAAATATTGATAAAAATGAATAAGATCTACTTGAATGGATTGACATATTGAAATTACAACTCTTTCTCATGATAAATAAGAGTAAGAAGCAACTATTTTCATGGATGATAAATAAGGAAATGATGAGATTGAAACTTTTAAGATAAATATAATAGGATTAAAATATGTATCATATTTCAAATGTGATATTATTATAATCATGTTTTAGGTGTTATGATTTTTATTTTTGATATTATAGTTCAAGTAACAAATGTTCTATTTATTTGTGATTTTTTTTATATCATTTATTCAATTTACTTAGATTTATATATAATTAAAAACATATTTTTAAAATTACATTAATGTACCTGTATCTTATATTTAAAAAAAATTAGGTGTCCTGTACCCATATGGTACCGTACGTATCTATGCAACACAGCTTGCATGCTTGTGGATTTGAAGGACATGAAAAAATGAGATAATAATGTATGGTGACATTATTCATAGATCTTACCCAGCTTGTTCGAATTCATCCCCTAAGAAAGACTTGAAAAGGTCAACGATTTCTGAGTCCGATTCATGGATGTAATGGTATAGGAAAGTAAATGTCTCTTTCCATGGCAAACTAGAAGAATATCTCTCTGCATGAGCGCTTGAGTAGCCCCACCTGTTATGCTTATTCTTAGCACTCAACTTCTTCTCTAAGGGAAGCTTGAAAATGGAGTCATATTCACGATGAGCAGCAATGATGAGATCATGGTCTACACCATGTTTTGTGACTTCAAAGAAACCATGCTTCATGCATGCCTCCCTCACAAGCTTTGCGGCATTAGCCATAGCAATCTCATCACCCTTGATGGCCTTCAAGTCTATAAGGGGTGTATTCAGCTTTTCTGAACTGCCTTTGATCAAGTCCTTAGATGACCAAACAAATTGCTTTGGCACATTATTCAACGATTTGAAGTCAAAACTACTGACTTCAGTTGATGGAGTGGGGACTACAAGGGTGCTAGTGTTTGATTCCATGGAAATGAGATACACTTTCACTAACCAAAGTATAACGATCTGGATAAAAAATCAATTCGCAACACATATATTTATACATATATAAAACTACACACGGTGCATTTATATTTAATTAACAAAATATAAAAAATATTTAAGGGGTGTATCAAATTAAAGTTTTGAAAGAATATTTTAGTATGAAAAAGTTTTGTAAATTTTAAAGGATTTTAAATTTTTTTAAAGAAGTTTCACGACTTAAAAATTTTTTAAAAAAGATTTTTAAAACATGAATTTTAAATAAAACTTTATAGTTCATATTTTAATAGTTAACAAAATTTAATGAATTTATATCATAAGATTTTAAAAAAATTTCTAGGTGAACCTCTAAACCTAAGGTGGTAAAGGTTGATAGGAATCATAGGATGATTCATAGTTATCTAGTCAATAAATTGTACATCAATATCGATAAATAAAAATGTAATAAAAAAATATTAATAGATAAAAAAATATAGGAGAAAAAATAAAAAGAGAAATAAGAACAAATAAGTGAGATAGATGAACAAAAGGAGAAAGATAATATGAAATAGAGAAGACATGCGAGGAGAGGGAAGAAAAAGATTAAATAGGGAAGATAGGGAGGAGAAACAAAGAGAAAAAAGAAGATGAGGGAGGGCAAGAGAGGAAAAAGGGAGAAGAAAAAATATGAGAGAGCAAAAAATGAGAAGAAATAAACAAAAAATAAAGAAGAAAGATTTTGGTAGAATTATTGGATGACATAATTATATATAAATTTTATAGTTTTATAAAATCCATTATTTAAAAATGAAATCTTTATTTTTTTAAATACTAACACATTTTTTAAGTGAAAAAAAATCTTCATTGAATATTACTAAATTTTGACATATTCTTAAAAATATTTTGATTGTCTTAATTGAATACCACTAATTTTTATATATTCTTTAAAAAATCTTAATTATATTAATTGAATATTATATGATTTTTTATATTAAAATAAAGACTTAATTAAATATTACAAAAAAAAATTATAATAAAAAATATTTTAAAATTATTTAAATCTCAATTCAATACATCTATATAAGAAAATAAAAAATTTGAGTAAATACCTATTTTGAGGAAATAAAAATTTGGACCACGTGTTGCAGTATAAACTTCCTCAATTATTTTCCTAAAATATTACAGTCCTTTGCAGGAATATATTAAGAAAACCTATTTTAAGGAAATAAAAATTTGGAACACGTGTTGCATTATAAACATCTTCAATTATTTTCCTAAAATATTACAGTCCTTTTCAGAAATACATTAGAACTATTATTTAAATTCAATATTTACTTTTACAAAGAAAATAGCATTTAATAAATTAACGTTTTAATATTTCATTTTATACAATTTTAAAAAACTACTAATTATTAACTAATTGTTTTCCTTACAAATATATAGTAAAAGTAATTATTCCTATAAATTAATATTTTATGATATACAAAATAAAAATGTGAATCTTTTTCATAAATTAAAAATATTTTTAAATTCAATATTTAATTTTTATAAATTAAATTAAATTAAATATTTATATTTTAATATTTAATTTTATAAAATATTTAATAAAATTATTAATTATTAATTAATTTTTCATAAAAAATCTTTAGTCAAAATAATTATTTCTATAAATTAATATATTTTATTATATACAAAATAAAAAAAAATAAGAGTCTTTTTATGAATACATTAAAGTATTATTTAAATTCAATATTTTACTTTTATGATGAGACTCCTTTATCTTATGGATTTCATAAGACTTTTTTGAATTCAATACATAAACACCTATTTGAACTCAATATTTTATAAGCCTTGCATTAATTATTGAATTCATGGAAAAGAATTTTTAAATAACAAAATAAAAATGTATTTAAGGAAATAAAGATTTGAGTCTACACCTATTTTAAGGAGATAAAAATTTTGAATGCGTCTTGCAGTATAAAATTCTTTAACTATTTTCCTGAAATATCACAGGGTAAAATTTTAATTATTTCCATAAATTAATATTTTATAATATATAGAATAAAAAATAAGAGTCTTTTTCAGGAATACATTAAAAATATTATTTAGATCCAATATTTAATGTACAAAAAAAATGAAGACAAAATATTTTTCCTAACAGAATATTCTAAGTTAGACTTTAGGGCAAAATCCCCTGTAATCTCTTTTGTATTTGTAAATTATTTTGTCTATTTAAGGAGAAATATGCCGCTGAAAGCCGTACTGTTTTTTACCTAAAAGCTTTCTTAAGTTTTATGATGGCATCTCTTGATTTGATCTTTGACATGATATCATTGTAGACATTGTTGGGTGAATATCGAATTTTTTACTGAAATATAATTTCTAAAAAATAAATTTATCCAAATAAATTCATCCTCTTTATTTACCAAAGAGGAGTGCTACAGACAGCCTCCGAAAAGTATCCTTTAAAATATTAACTTTTTTTAATAATTTTATTATTAAATAATTATTTAATATAATATTTTATAATTTAAATTAATTTTTTAAAGTTTCGGAACGTATTTTGGAATACGTTTTCGGAGGTTGTAAAATTTTTCTTTACCAAAATAATAAATTTCACCGGTTAAGATTTGGTTTTTGAGGAATCAAATTTTGACCTTCGTGACTTTCAAAAATGATAATTTCTTTTATCAGAATTCGATTTAATTTTGGCGAGTAGAATTCCAAATAGGATTTTTAATTTTTTTAAAACAATGTAATTTTTTTTATAAAATAATTTTTTTACAATTATATTATGTTTATATATTTATTTTCATATGTTAAATTTTGTTAATAATTTATAATATTAATATGATAAAATAATCATGAATAAATTTTTTATTTAAATAAAATAAGTTTATTGATATTAAATATTAATGTGTATTAATATTTATAGTTAATTATTTTTTTTAAATGAAAGTTTTAATATTTTAATATAAAAAAATTGTTATTAATATTAATAAAATTATTAAAGAATATTATGTATATAAATTTAATATAAATCATAAATCATAAAAATGTATTATGCTATATTAAATATTAATTTTTATTGATAAAAATTAATTATGAAATTATAAAATAAAAATTAATTAAAAAATTATAAAACTTAAATTAAATTAAATAACATTATTATTGTTATTGATTTGAAATATTATTATTGATAATAACCAAAAAGAAAATTATTTAAACATTAAATAAAATTATTTAAAAATATTTAATAATAATTTAAAACATTTTTATTGATAATAACATTAAATTGATTTTAAAATATTATTAAAAATTAGATTACATAATTGTATCACCGATTGAAATAAAAACTAATAATTAAATTGTAATTGTAAGTTGCAAGAAAGTAGTTAAATAAAAGTTAATTATTAACATTCTTTTAGACATGATACATGGAAGAAAATAAGTTGTAAGTAACATAAATCAATGACGGGAAGTAGATACATGACCAATGTTTGAACATGTTTTTCTTATATGACCAGGGGTGTGATAACATGAATAATTTTTTGCACGACTTTGTTGTTCTCTAATGTCCATCTCTATTTTTATTCTGTTTGACTTGGGTTGACCTTTGGAAGTTCTTTTCAATTATGGATTTCGGTACAAAGTTGGACCAATGTAAATTGACCAATAGTCTTCATGTCTAAGTTATCTAAATTGTCTTTCGTATATCTTAGAAACTTGTTATAAGGTATAGACGAGAGATATGTAGATCTTAAAGTTGTGGTGTGCGTGTAGATGTGAACTTTTTGGAACTTGCCACAGTCACACCACAACTCATCTAACCTTATTGTAAATTTCCTTGATGGTTGAACTTCTCCTAGATGTTTTGTCTCTTTCATTAAAAATCTTGTGTTTATTCTGTCAAAGGTGATCACTTTATGAATATTTGTCTTTGATTGTGTATCTTGTATTATTTTTTATGATGTCCAACATTAATCATGACATCTACCTCCTTGTCTTTCTCGATGAAGAACTTGTTACAACGGGTGTATGTTACCATTACCATTGAGCAAATTGGGAGGTTTATTGTTTTCTTTATGACCAAATTAATTGACTATTATGCTATGTTTATTGTCATGTGTCCCCAATGTCATTCATTGTCCATGCAGGCATCCATTTGTCTCTTGGGATATGTTGTCCAACCATTATGTTGCTTCTGGATTATTATCTTTTACTATACTTTGATAGTAAATAAATCTTGGTTCAATCATTCCATATATATGCTGGAAAAAAGTTTATAAATTAAATTAATATAACTATCTAATCAAGTGTAGAAAGTAATAATAACCGTAGATAGTATTAATGATAATATAGAGTAAAGAAAAAATTAAAATTATCCATATTGACGACATCTTTCTTCAGTGCAATGTTTTTGAATCGTCGTATGAAATTTTAAACAATATGTCTAATGCAAAACATATGGACAGAAAATAATATTTTCTGTCCAACCACTTCTATTTTTGGATTATGCACTTCTGATAGTCTCGTGACAATCTAAAATGAGACACAACCCCTCTTGTGATGTTATATACTTCCATAGATTTTTTTAAAAGAATTATGCATCACTGACTTTACTTTCAACCACAACAAATGCAATGAGAATTATGTTGTTGCAATCATCTTGCGCAACAATTACTAATAACGTTTCTTTGTATTATAAAACGATAGTATAACCTTTTGATCAATATTTAGGTGAAAAAATTAATTAAGCAAATTTATCTCCTATAATCAAATAGAAAATGTGTTATAATCTTGTGAACTATAAAATGATTATTGGAACATATTAAACTCCAATGCAACAACACAAATAAGATCTTCCAAAGTGCTATATTATGAGTTACAGCATCACATATAAATCTTTAGAGAAAATATTACCTGGTTAAGTTGTTTGAGGCACTCTCTTGATGTTTGATCATCAAAGACAACCTTGACTTCTTTTATTGCACACATTTATCCATTTTCACCGTTAAACATAGGAAGCAAAACATAAATGGTATAAGTAATTTGTCCAGAATATGGACATTGGGACAAAAGTACATATTCAGAAAGAATAATAATGATGAAGTAACTATATGTGAATATAGTTGCACTTTAATGTCAGCATTTAGTTCTTAAGATTTAGCACCTCTAAAGCGAGAAGAAATACACTTCGGAGGGTAAAGTGTGGAACTTTAGCTGTTGATTTGAAATCAAAAGAATAGATTTTATTAAATTCATAATTTATTAAATAGTAAAGTTACCTATTGAATCACAGATATACATGCCCAAACGTTCCCCGTCCTAGAAGCTTTCCTTGTCTCAGAAAAGTATATGTCCAGAAAGGGATGAGAATCCACATTGGTGATTGTGCGCTGCCTTACGTTTCCACGCGTCGGAGTACAATCAACCCTTTCCGGAGTCATTTCTAATTTGTAAATGAAAATATAAAACTTATGAAAAAAAAGAGAGTGAGAAAATACACTATAAATATAACTATTTTATTTAAGAAAACAAATATATTTTTAACTAAAATAATCATTTTTTACTTAATTAATTATATGGTAAAAACAATTATTTTACATATAAAAAAATAATTAGTTAAGAGAAATAATAATAAATATTATTAAAAATCTTTCTATAATTTTTTTTGTAAAGATAAGAAAAATTACAAAAATGATCGTAATGAAGATTGAACTTAGATCCTCATGTTTCTAACTACTCCAACTCTTCCCCACCCAATTACTAGGCTAACTCTAGTGGTCAAATCTTTCTAAAATAAACTTGAATGATGAAATCCTTCTTATAAAAATTAGTCTAAAATCTCATTTGCATTAATTATATATATATTTTTTTTACAAAAAGATCTAGTATTGAGGCCAATCATAAGTGCGCGGAAGGAAGTTGGTTCCGAAATATATAGTTAATGGTGAGTTAGAAATAGAAAGGAAGAGGAAAACGGACTTCCATTGAATCGCATGCACTCTCTCTCACTATCTCACTTTCTTACCCTTTGCCTTCGGAATTGCTGTTCTTCCGCTCCTTCTCTCTACACATCTCAATTACCTAATTCCCTCTTCCAACCTTTATTAATTTCTTCTCGCACTCACAACTCACAACCATGATTAATGCTGCACCAGCGTTATGCACAACCATCAAACTCAATTCCAAGTTTTTGATACTTTAATTTCCCGGCTTACCGAACAGGTACATTTTCGCCAACAATGCAAAATCAATCTCAATCGCAACCCTTCTTTTCGTTTCGGTTGCCAAGAAAATTAATCACCATTTCTCAATTGCTTACACAGGCGGTGGAGAGGAACAATGTCGTCCAGTCAGGATCCGTCAACGCTGAATCGGCGGCCGTCGAGGACCTCCGCCATGACGACGTTCTCCATGGAGGTGTTCGATAACGAAGTCGTGCCCTCCTCCCTCACCACCATCTCGCCAATTCTCAGAGTCGCCAACGAGATCGAGACCGAGCGTCCCAGGGTTTCATATCTCTGTATGACTCAATCAATCAATCAATTACCATTGCTTGTGACTTGTGATTCTTAATTGATTTGTTGCAACATTGATGAACCGTATTGATGAACGTGTGCAGGTAGGTTCTATGCCTTCGAGAAAGTTCACAGGCTGGACCAGAGTTCCACCGGCTGTGGCGTCAGGCAGTTGAAGACGTTGTTGCTGCAGCGATTGGAGCGGGCGGGTAAGGGAGAGCAACGTTTTTTCAAGTTTATAATAATAATCGCAGCGCGCACTAACTCAGCGAGTAGGTGATGTTCTTCGCACATGTAATAATTATGACCTAAGGTTCAAACAAATTTTAACTAGAATTAATTATTACAATCATAATTGTTGTACAATTATATTATTTTTTCAAGAAAAAGTTAAAAATAAATAAATATACATATTGAAGTGCATAAAATGTCTTATTATAAAGAAATAAGGATTAATGAGACGACCAATATTAGGATTAGTATAATTTTTAAGAAAATTATTGTAAAGTAGTTAGTAAATTTATTGTAAATTATCTTTATAATTAGATCATAATGTATAATTATTTTACATAATTGGTGTGTAAATTTTTTTCAAAGTAAAATAATAATAATAATAAAAGAATAACGTACAATGCAATTAAAGTATTTTCACTCGAAAGTTAAGGCCTAATATTTTGAAGTACTAAAATTCATATAAATATAAATATTATAGATTAAATTTATAACTACATGTTTAAAGGAACTTATTGTTCATTTGTGAATGAGTATAAGTATTTTTTTGTTAGTCCATTGATTAAAGTATGATAAAAAAAACGTGTAAATTAAATGTATAAAGAGAAGTGTTTATATATCACTATTATGTTTTTAAGAAAAATTATACTGTGCAAATATTATTTATTCTTCTTATTTTTTTTAAAGTTGCGATGATAAATTGCTAACTAAAGGGAGTTGAGGTAGAAAGAGGATACTATGGACAAAAAAGAATTTGGAAGATATAACGAGGGATATGAAAAATCAAAAATAAGAAAATAAAAAAAAAATGGATTAAAGAGAATAGAACTTAGAAGTGTATTTTTTTTAATTTTTTTCTTATTATTATACCTTGGTCCCAAGATTTACCTTTTCCTGTGCAATAGGACAATCCAACTAGTCTGGCCTCTCGGCTTAAGAAGACAGATGCGAGGGAAATTCAGTCCTATTATCAGCAATATTATGAACATTATGTCAGAACTCTCGACCAAGCGGATCAGGCTGACAGGTACATACATGCTATTGCTAAGCGTGAACTTTCATGCTCGCTACGATGAATTCCGTTTCAATTCTCTAACCTTGAATATCGAAAATTCGAAATTAATTTGCAGAGCCCAGCTCAGCAAAGCTTACCAGACTGCTGGGGTACTATTCGAAGTGCTTTGTGCCGTTAACAAGACTGAGAAGGTCGAAGAAGTTGCTCCTGAGGTTCGTCTCGTTTCACATTACCCTTTCAGTTCTGTTCAGGGATTTTGTTCCATTTTTCAATATCAATTCGTGTGTGTAGATTATCGCGGCTGCCAGAGATGTCCAGGCGAAGTTGGAGATTTATACGCCTTACAATTTTCTTCCTCTGGATACTGCTGGTGCTTCCATGCCTATTATGCAATTTGAAGAGGTGTTGCTTTTTAAGCGGTTCACATGTGGAGTCTTTGTGCTTTAGTTTTCATTGCACTGATTTCCTTGGTTTTCTTTCGTTATTAGATTAAGGCTGCTGTTTCTGCGCTTTGGAATACTCATGGCTTGAACTGGCCTTCTTCGGTCGAGCAACACAGGCATAAAACCGGAGATCTAGATATGCTTGATTGGCTCAAAGCCATGTTTGGTTTCCAGGCATGTATTTTGCACGTGAACAGAATGATTTATGAATGACTAGATTTTTGTATGGCCTCCTTAAATTGTTAATATGTTTGGTTTGTTTTTGGCACAGAGGGACAACGTCAGGAATCAGAGAGAGCATCTGATTTTGCTTCTAGCTAACTCTCATATAAGGCTACACCCTAAACCCGAGCCTTTCAACCTGGCAAGTGTCTGTCTCTCATTTTTTACTGTTTTGGGCAAAAGCGTAATGGACTAAATAAAGATAAAACTACAATCAAGAGAATTCTTGTCAAAATTACATTATCAATTTTTTTATCTATCTGAGTAGCCTTAGCCTGCTTTGTTTTGGCCGGAAGTTAAATTCTGCGTTCTTTTTCCCCTCATTTCCTTTTTGGTTTTATCAAAATCACAGCTTGATGATCGTGCTGTGGATTCAGTGATGAAAAATCTCTTTAAGAATTACAAAACATGGTGCAAATTCTTGGGACGAAAACATAGTTTAAGGTGAGATATAATAATATATCAGTGTCAGTGAAAATCTAAATTTTTTTGTTTAAAGTTCTTATGGTGTTCTTTCACACAGACTTCCTCAAGGTCAGCAAGAGATACAGCAGAGGAACTTGCTTTATATGGGCTTGTATCTTCTTATCTGGGGTGAAGCGGCCAATGTTCGCTTCATGGCAGAGGGTGTATGCTACATATTTCACAATTTTATTACACTTTCCATGTGTTCCATAATATCTTGTGCTATAATGCTTTTGAAAATGCTATGTAGTTGTTTTCTCTTTTAATCTTGTTTAATTTATTTGTGATTTTTGTATATGCTAATAATGGCCAACTAAAACTTCAGATGGCATATCAACTGCATGGTTTATTGGCTGGAAATGTCAGCATTGCTACCGGTGAAAATATCAAGCCTTCTTATGGTGGTGGTGATGAGGCATTCCTGCGCAAGGTTATAACTCCCCTGTACCGAGTAATTGAAAAAGTAAGATTATGTCTCCAATGACATCATCATAATACTTTAGGTATCTATTCTCTATACAATAAATGATTTATAAAGTTATTAATCATGTTAATTATTCTAGGAAGCCAAGAAGAGCAGACATGGAAAGGCTCCACACTCAGCATGGTGCAACTATGATGATCTAAATGAGTATTTCTGGTTGGTTTTTCTTTAGGATTTTATTACTGAAATTGACTTTGTTGGTTTGCTTAATCATTTATTAATTTACAATGTATTTTTTGTTGCAGGTCATCTGAATGCTTTTCTCTTGGATGGCCCATGCGTGATGATGGTGAATTCTTTAAATCAACAAGTGATTTAACACAGGTATTTATTCTCATCTTGCACAACAAACAGGTCTACTTTGGTAATAAAGGAAAGGGTTTATTTTCGTAATTTTTTAAAAAAATTATATTTCAGTAAAAATTTCCACAATTGGGATGACAACGGAAACGACCTAAAGATATATTTTTTTTAATGAAACTGCTATTTATATTTTATTTAGGAAAAAATATTAGAAAACTTTTTTAAGAAAAAATAGTTTTAAAATTTGAATCGGGTTTTTGACACCTTATAATATCAGTTAAAAATAGCATTTTTAATTAATTATGTAAAATTATATAACTTTACAAATATTTACTGTATTTCTAAAAAATATTTTGATCCTATAATTTTTATTATTTTTTAATGAAAGGACTTTTTTTTTTGTATTTTTGTTTAAAAAAATACATAAGAATTTAAATTCGCAAATTACAAATCATTAACTTTTCACAATAACGATAAAGATAAAAATATTATCCAATTAACGTTATTGTTTATGATATATATATATATATATATATATATATATATATATTTTGAATATCTTATAAAAAGATGACAACTTTCATTTTTATATTTTATTAAAAAATTATACTTATAAAAGAACTTATGTTAGCAAATAACAAAATATTAAATTCTTACAAAATAATATTAAAAATAAAACTATTATTTAATTAACGTTATTGACCATTACATATTGAAATAATTTTTAAAAAAACTTTCATTTAGTAAAAAACTTTAATTTATGTGCAAAGTTTTCGAAAGACCTAATATAGAATAATTTTAGTAAAATAAATTTGACATAAAGTATACAAAATTAAATTAATCCATCTATCACGTTAATACAAAATATACAATGTTATAAAAAAATTATTGTAATAAAAATTAAAATATTTTCTCAAATCAAACTATGCTTACGTATGTTATTGTGAGTTGACATAAATGATCTAAAATTCAGTCTGAACTTACGTTCTTCATGATGTGAATTTGACAATTTGATGACTATTAAAATCTTACATTGATGAGCTACATACTTAATGAGATTTTTTGGTACTAGAAGTTAATTTCTCTAATAAATCTTAGCCTTCAGTTTGATAAGTAAAATCATAGATCAAATCAAATACTACTAAACTTCAATTAATCACTAAATAAATAACTGTTTAGTCTAAGAATCTTCATATATTACTAGAGTTAATCATCCATACATTGCTAGTATAAATTTTTTTATACTGACAACTGATCATATATTTTAAAGTTACTTATTTTATTATTATTTCATTAAATAAGCAACTGACATAACATTATTAAAATATATAATTGGTTGCCAGTATAAAAAAACTTTCCACTGACAGTGTATAAGTTATTAACTCATATTATTAACCTATCGACAAATAGTTTTGAATAAAAATGGATATATGGGTTAAGATTCACAAGTTAGCCTATGAATCGCACAGCTAATGGTCCTTTTGTTTTACACCCACGTACATAGGTCCATTATTTTTTATATTAGGTGTCAAATTATATGTTCAGCAACTTCTTTTAAGAATGCAAATTTAACAACAATAACAATAAATGTACATACACTTTCACTATGAAAATGAAATGAAAATTCATATTATTTATAATATTTGTGTACACTAGGTTTTATTTAGACTCATAATAATAATGCATACACTTGGATTAAGGAAAATGAAATACTAGTATCTGATTTTCTTTGTTGTCCATAAAGAGTGTACTTAATTTCTGCGACCCAATTGAGTAGTAGCTAGTGTACATAGAAAATTATTAAATTAATTGGATGGTGGTGCTTCTTGACTGCGAAGCCACGACACGAACAATGGAAGTGTGTCGGAATCAGCCCTGTGTCGCTTTTGCGTAAACTCATACAATTGTGCCCATGTGAAATCAGGAAAATTTCTTTTCTCTCCATTCTCAAACAGGTTCTGTGGTGGTATCAGGGTTTTGTCTGCTCTGGGGTTTAGAAAGAAAGCAAGGGACTTCCTATCCACCTTGTCGTTAACCAACACCCTGTGAAGAACACTCTTGTATACCCCATTCGTTAAAGCCTATTTGAGTTATATAAATAAAAAAAAAGTTTTAGTGCCTCAAAACCACGATAAAATTAAGACAAATTGAGTAAATTATATAACATTAAATCATATTTTAATACTATATTTTCATTAATAAAAACATTATTAGATAAGTCTTGTATGATAAATTGAGTAAGAAATAAATTTTATTTAAAAAATTTACTAATGACATTTAAATAGAATGATAAAATAAATTTTTTCTTGCTTTCAAAAATGCATGACAAAAATTTAATTTTAAATTTAATATTTAAGAAACTAAACACATATTTACATACCTCTAATGTGTCACCTATGTTTATGATTAAGGCATCAGGTATTTCAGGTCGAGGGGGAACAGGTAGCCATTTGTCATCGACATAAACTTCAAGACCTGGAACTTGGTCTTGATGAAGAATGGTTAATGAGGTTGGGTCACAATGAGGGCCAACGCCAAGGGTGATACTAGGATTTTGGCAAGATGGGTAATGGTTCGACCTCATTATTGCTACACCATCTTCGAAAAATCTTTGAAAATATGAAGGATCTGCACCCAAGCTAATGGCCAACAACTCCATAATCTTCATAGATACTTCCTTCATTGCTTCACAGTACTTTTGATTTACCAACCTATTTCATTTTTTTTTAAGTTGACAAAAAAAAGACATGTTATACAAGGAAATCAATAAACTATTGCATGAATGTAGATTTGAAGGACATGAAAGCATGTGAGATAATAATGAATGATGACATTATACATAGATCTTACCCGGCTTGTTCAAATTCATCCCCCAACATAGACTTGAAAAAATCAACAATTTCTGAGTCTGATTCATGGACGTAATGGTATGGGTAAGTAAATGTCTCTTTCCATGGCAAACTAGAAGAAAATCGCTCTGCATGACCACTTGAGTAGCCCCACGTATTAAGCTTACTCTTACCACTCAGCTTCTTCTCTAAGGGAAGCTTGAAAATGGAGTCATATTCACGATGAGCAGCAATGATGAGATCATGGTCTACACCATGGTTTGTGACTTCAAAGAAACCATGCTTCATGCATGCCTCCCTCACAAGCTTTGCAGCATTAGCCATAGCAACCTCATCACCCTTGATGGCCTTCAAGTCTATGAGGGGTGCATTCAGCTTTTCTGAACTGCTTTTGAGCAAGTCCTTCGATGACCAAACGAATTGCTTTGGCACATTATTCAACAATTTGAAGTCAAAACTACTGACTTCAGTTGATGGAGGGGGGATTACAAGGGTGCTAGTGTTTGATTCCATGGAAATGAGATACACTTTCACAAACCAAAGTATAATGATTTGGATACAAAAGCAATTTGCAACACATACTTATACATAAACATACAAGCGATGCATTTATATTTAATTAACAAAATAAAATGTATTTAAGGAAATAAAAGATTTGAGTAATCAGGAAATAAAAATTTGGAACGCGTCTTGCAGTATAATTTTTTAAAACTATTTTTCTAAAATAAACTGTTATTATATATAAGATGAAATTACTTAATTCAAATTTAGAAAATAAGTTAATTTAATTGATAACAATAAATATGTCATATATATATATATATTATTTCTAAAACTACTCTTATACATTATTATTTTTTAATTAATACTCATGGGTCTTTTAACCGGTTAGAATGCATGTGTTATACTATTTATCTCCCCTAAATAATGTTTACACCTTTATCTTAATCAATTAGATTGTATACTCTTTAAAAAAAATTTATAATTAATGAAATTTTATCAAATTAAGAAAACACATTTTTATTAAGGATATTTTTATTATAAAAATAATTAATATATGAGACAATATAAATTAGGTCTTATATAAAAGAATAATTTTTTTTTGATTAATTTTATAAATTCTTATATTATAATATACAAAATAAAAAATAAGGGTCCTTTTCAGGAATATATTAAAAATATTATTTAAATTCAATATTTACTTTTATGAATAAAATAACATTTAATAAATTGACATTTTAATATTTAATTTTATAGAATTTTAATAAAATTATTAATTATTAATTAATTTTTTCCTTAAATATATACAGAAAAAATAATTATTCCTATAAATTAATGATATAAA